CTTTCCACATCTGTTTCAAATTGTTCAGTGCTATTCCAGGAGTGCCTTAAAGCTCCAATCCAGGTAGTATTAAGGGGATAAATGAGGCACAGGGAAGAGACACTGTATTTTTCTCAAAGCAATTCTTTCTCCTTTTTACAGAGTTAGAAGCCAAGCAATTTACGATTAAGATTTTCAGAAGATATGCTTTGTCATTTTAAGCCATCCTTGTCTGTGGGTTTAAAAACGAGGTTTTAGCTCTAGCATCCTGGCATACCTTAATGTATTTCTCTGTACAGGTAGATTGTGAATATCATTTCTACCAGCAAACCTGAAGTAGTTTTAATTCATTATGATTCAGTGTGGATTCTTATTGAAGAAAAATGAAGAATAGTTAAAACCTAAGGTCAGTTAGAAATAAATAAGTGCCTGAGTATACCTTTATGTTTGTGATGTTCAGGAATGTCAGAGGAAGTTGTCAATAATTTTAGTTTGATACATTTTCTACAGGAAAAAAAATTGTTTTTCAGGAAAAAGGCATTATTTTATGAATTATAATTTAATATGATTTGGCTTTATGTCTGCTCTAGGTGATTGAATGAAAATTATAAAGGTGGATTTTTTTCTCCCCATATACTACCCATAAGCTATTTTCTCAGGTGCTTTCCAAAGAATGTATTTTCATAAGAATGACCCAACCTGTACTGTTAGATTTACGGAAGTCTCATCACATAGTACAGAGATGCCCTGCAGAATAAATGCATATAAAGATAGCACCATATGGTATATCAGATGACACGTAAGTATGAGAGAGGAATGTTTTCAAGTTGACCTTGAAGATGTTAAGGGACTTACAGAACAAATACAAGGCAGGAGGATAACTGAAAGATGATTCCCTATCTTTGGCATTTGTAATACTCATAAAAGGGATGACAAGCTTATTATCTGACTCAGAATAAAATGCCCACACAGTAATGTAAAGAAGAAGGAAATTCAGTTGCATATCTCTCACTAAGATTAGTAAAAACCTCATATCATCACATAAAGTGCACTAAATCATTGCATTTGAAGTTGGTCTATTTCATAGGTACAGTCTGCAATTTCATCCATGCGTAGGGGATTGACAGCTGCTCCATCCATTAGTATTAATGAATTACCATACCAACATCCCACACACATCCACCAAGAAACCAAAGAAACCCCTCCTACACACTACTTTGTTTTGAATCCTCCAAATGTTGTAGGATAGCTATCTTTTTAATAAGTAGAAGTTATTGAATATAGCACATATTATAGCTAAAAGTGATGAGACTAGGAATTAGTAAGTAATTGTAACTTTATTCATATATTAAAGTAGGTTAAATTATCTCTCATCACTCTGTCATCTAAGGAATGCCTATGACCATTTAAGAAATGGTCCTGAACTTCTAGGGCATTTTATTAAAGAAAAAAACAATTCAGAATGACATTGGCAGCCTGTTTAGTGAAATTTTTTCCCTCCTGAAGGACCTCCAAGAGTGTCCTTTAAACGAGGTGAAAAGAACAAAATGAGTTTTGATATGATGACCATGTGTACTTGTTTACCCAGAACAGTTCAATTTATACCGTTTGCTCTGGCATAGTTATTAGTAACTACCCGTTTATTCTCAAAAGGTCCTGATTTGAATGGAAAATTATATGTTCATCTAGTTTTAGAGCATTTCTTATACAACCGCGGTCTCTTCCTCTACCGTCTAGTATGCTTCCAGTTCCCGTTTATGTCTTTTGTGTGTAACACCTGTTTCTACAAAGGAAGAAAGAAAGAAACAACTATGCCAGTCCATATGCCTTCACCAGCTAAAAAATTCATCTCTTTTTTCCCACTCTTTTATTCTTTGGGTTCTCATCCTCTTTTCTCTGCTTTGTGACATTGCACTCCCCAACACTGTCCTTATAGAACATGTCAGGGACAAGTCAAAGAATGTCACTGTATGAATATTTTCCTATAGAAACGGGCAGCTTAATCCTTTTCAGTGCTTGCCTGTGTGAAAAAAAAATGTGACATATAGTCATGGGTTACTTAATGACAGTGATACATACAATAAATGCATCATTGTACAAGTGTTATGGAATGTACTTATACCAACCTAGATAGTGTAGCCTACTACACACCTAAGCTACATGTATAGCCTCTTGCTGCTAGGCTACAAACCTGTATAGCATATTACTTCACTGAATATTGTAGGCAGTTATAACATTTGTATATCTAAACATAGGAAAAGTACAGTAAAAATATGATATTATAATTTTATGGAACCACCATCATTATAAGGTTAGTCATTGACTGAAATGTCATCATGTGGCACATGGCTGTATTTTATTATTTTTAATGAGGAAGAATTTAGGGCCATGCTCCTCAGTGACAGGGAACTCTCAGATTGAGTTATATCTCCCCTTAGAAACATTTGTTAAGGGCCTACTCTGTGTCTGACATCTTCTTATACAAAAATGACTGAGAGATTATCCCTTATGCCAGGAACTCACAGTCTATTAATAGAGAAGACCATGTTGAACAATAATTACATATACTACTAGAAGTGAATACTACCAAAGCACTAATACTTTATGTATCACCAAGAGTATGGAAAGGTGCGGTGGGAGAATAGGCATGGGATTCAATCTGGGATCTGCTCCTTGGGGAAGAGATGACAGAGTAGGTAATGTGCGAACTGAGTTTTGGAGGAGGAACAGAATGAAGGTATCAATGTACATGAGGGACTCTGCATCAGGTTTGCTCTGAGAAAGTAGATAGTATTGCATTGGCCAACATACCCTGTCACAAAATATCACTTATTCTCGTGTACTCTGCATTCTATAGAATAAAGTCTTTTGTTGTTGTTCTGAAGAAGAGTGGAAGTTGCCAGTTTACTATTTTTATAATAGCCATAATTTTCCAATTTGTTGATACATCTTCAAATGTACTTTGGAAAGACCATTTCAGAGCTCTCTCTTTGGACTTTCCTCTGCAAAATAGACTTCTTTCCTTTGTGTACTCTCAAAGGTCTTGTTTGTTTTTTAAAGCATTCTTATTCTTTTCTCTTCTGAGCTTAATCAGTGTGTGGTTCCCACCACACACCCTTATATTTTGCACTCAGGTAGCATTACAGTGCATTTATATATAGAAGTCTGGCTAGTGGTATAGTCCCAAATACCATATTTATTTATTTGTATCTTACTGCCATGCTGAAAATAAACCATTATAGAGCACTTGATAAACACAGCTGAATGAAAGAAACAGTTCTTCCAACCTTGCAGTTACTGCTGCCATCCCTCCCAGGTCTCTGATTCCTCTCTCTCCTTATCGTTTCTTTCTGCCTTGTTATTTCACTAATTTCTGTAAATTCTGTCTTCTATCTTCTCTCTACATTTTTTCCAAGTGATGCAGCCTTGCTCCAGTTTCCAGATTCCGCTCTAAGTCATCTAAGTCTGTGTTGTTTGAATGGATTCTCTAGTCATCTCCTACCTCCATTCTTCATTCTTTTTCCAGTCTTTAACTCAGAAACAGATCATCTTCTCTTCCCACATCTAATCCACTGGCCAGTTCAGCAGACTCCGTTATATAGTGTCTTCAGCATGTGTTTCTCTCCCTCCAATCCCTTTCCTTACCATGGTATCAGTTTCCTTGTGATATTCACAACTCCAAAAGTGAGACTCATCTAGGAGCCATATTCCACACTGGTGCAAGTTTTAGTCTTCTAAAACATACAACACCTTCAAAGAAATGCCATCACCAGTGATAGAATTCAGCTATCACTGTCAAATTGTTTCCTAACTGCTTTTTATATTTAAGTCCCACTGTCCTTTTTCATGAGTCTCTATTATGCTTGTACAGAGAGGCAGTGCAGAGCCCTGAAATTAGAACATCTGAGTTTGATTTATGGCTCTGTACTTGTTAGCTCTGTGACCATGGACAGATTATTTACCTTCTCTCTGTCTCATTTTCCTCATCTGTAATGTGGGGATAGTAATTGGATCTACCATAAAGATTATAGCAAGGATTAAATAAAACTCTCAGAGCAGTGTCTAGCACATATTAAGGATTCAATAAGTATTAGTATTTTTGCAATTTAATGACAAAAACCACAATTACTTTTGCACCAACCTAATAGAGTCCTATTCTCCAAAATCTTATGGTCTTCTTCTGTTAATAAGTATCCTATTTCATTTTACATTTGAAAATCATCCAAAACTTACATTGTTTTCTATTTTCACATCTTGAAATTTCATCTTGCTAGATAGACATTCTCATGTTTTCTGTTAGACCAATAGCATCCATTTATATGGAATTCATAATTAATTATATGCCTTCACAAAATTCATATGATCTGCTTATGCCAACGAATATAAAGGTGAAAGATAGAAACTGCTGTTATCTCTCTATCATAGGGGTCCTCAACCCCCGGGCCACGAACCGTGGCCTATTAGGTACTGGGCCACACAGCAGGAGGTGAGCTGCCAATGAGCAAGCGTTACTACCTGAGTTCCACCTCCTGTCAAATCAGTGGCGGCATTAGATTGTCATAGGAGTGCAGATTTGACTGTGAACTGTGCATATGAGGGATCTAGGTTGCACTCCCTTTATGAAAATCTAATGCCTGAGGTGGAACAGTTTCCTCCCGAAGCCACCTGTCATGCCCCCAGCACCCACCCCACCTCAGCCCACATCCCTGGGGCCAAAAACGTTGGTGTCCAGTGTTCTACAGGATTGAGAGATACAAAGCTAACAAAATTGAAGGGTAGATTGAAAAATAAACTTGAATTATTTTATGATCATGAATTGAAACCACATGTAAAGTTGAACAACCAGGAAAACTATCTCTGCTTTTACTTCCTTTTCTGAACCGCAGTAAGTTAATGCTCAGGACTAGATATAACACATAAGGAATTCTAAGGATCCTAAGTAACAGTGCTATGTATGGGGTATCATGGGGTTATCATTTGTGGTAAATTTGTTTTCAACACTGGCATTTTTTTCCTCTTAGGGCAGAAATTTAGCATCTGGAGAGGTTGGATTTTTTCCAAGTGATGCAGTCAAGCCTTGCCCATGTGTAAGTATCTTAATTTTCTCTTGCTTCATTTTGTTTTTGACGCTGTGATTAATTGTGCAAAAATCTACAAAGAATGCTGGCCAAATCGATTATTAATTTTATTACTGTTTTCTGGAAGAATCATTATTTTCAACATCACTATGGTTCTATTGTCAGAATATGTTTTTAAATATTAAGAAAATATATAGAAGAGGCAAATTTTACTTAGCAGAATTTATAAAACTACGTTGTCTAAAAGGTTTTAGAAGACATAAACCACAGCCACAAATTAGATGCATTGTACAAGTTTCCTCTTTCCCACTGAACTGAGAATGGTACGGTCTGCCTCCAGTCACTTGGGTTACAGGGCAATATTATACTTCAGCTGATGTCTTTGAAACCTTGCTAGAAAATGAAAAGTCCACAAATTTTTCAGCCAAAGGTCTACATATATTTTCTATAGTGTGTCATTACTTTTTATATAATGTCATAATGGAATTTTCTGAAAATATAAAACACAGATAAAAGGAGAATAAATGAACATTTGCTCAATTAATATTATGGGTGAATGTAACCTAAAATGTACTCCTTGGTGTGTTATGATACTGATAAATTTCTGTTTAGGGTAACATGATTTTAATATCACCATTTGGTAATATGGGTGACGTTTTCCACACAATTTTTTAAGTTATTGACTCCAAAATAAATGAAATTTGTTTACTAATATGATGGAGATGATTGCCTGAGGGGGAAAACTCTCCTTAAACTCTCTTGCTTGCTGTATTTCAGTAGTTACTGAATTTCCAAACTGGACATTCTTTTTAATGTTAGAAACATGAGAATCTGCCATCCTTGGCTCTAGAATGTGCACTATAGGATAATTTACTCCACTCATTCAAGCTTAATTATTTTCAAAAACAAAGAGAATAGAAAAGCGTCTGTTACTCTGTGGTTCTGTGATCTAATATCACATTTTTTTAACTTTTATTTTAGGTTTAGGGGTACATGTGCAGGTTTATTATTTGGGTAAATTGCGTGTCATAGGGGATTGGTGTACAGATTATTGTGTCACTCAGTTTCTAAGCATAGTACCTGGTAAGTAGTGTTTAGATCCTCACCCTCCTCCCACCTTCCACCCTCAAGGAGGCTCCTGGAATCTGTTGTTCCCTTTTCATGTCCATGTATACTCAATTTTAGCTTTCACTTATAAGTGAGAACATGTGTTACTTGCTTTTCCTTTCCTGTGTTAGTTCACTTACGATAATGGCCTCCAGCTCCACCCATGCTGCTGCAAAGGGCATGATCTTGTTTCTTTTTATGGCTGTATAGTATTCCATGGCATATATGTACCATATTTTCTTTATCCAGAAACATATGGGCATTTAGATTGATTCCATGTTTGTGAATATTGCTGGGATGAACATACACATGCATACCTTTATTTGTAGAACAATTTATATTTCTTTGGGTATATACCCAATAATGGGGTTGCTGGGTCAAATGGCAATCCTGTTTTAAGTTCCTTGAGAAATTGCCACATTGCTTCCACAAAGGCTGAATTAATGTACATTCCCACCAGCAGTGTATAAGCATTCCCTTTTCTCTGCAACCTTGTCGGCATCTGTTATTTTTTTACTTTTAATAAAAGCCATTCTTACTGATGTGATGTGGTATCTCATTGTGGTTTCAATTTGCATTTCTTTAATGATTAGTAAAATGGAGCATTTTTTCAAATGCTTGTTGGCCGTGTATATGTATGTCTTGTTTCCAAAAGTGTCTATTCATGTCATTTGCCCACTTTTTAATGGAGCTGTTTTTTGGCTTGTTAATTTATTTACATTTTTTATAGATGCTGGATATTAGACCTTTGTCAGATGCATAGTTTACAGATATTTTCTCCCACTCTGTACGTTGTCTGTTTACTCTCTTGATAGTTTCTTTTGCTGTGCAGAAGCCCTTTAGTTTAATTAGGTCCCATTTGTCAATTTTTGTTTTTGTTGCAATTGCTTTTGGCATCTTAGTCATGAAATCTTTGCTAGGTCCTATGTCAAGAATGGTATTTCCTAGGTTATCCTCCATGGGTTTTGTAGCTTTATGATTTACATTTATGTCTTCAATCCATCTTGAGCTGATTTTTCTATATCATATAAGGAAGGGGTTCAGTTTCAGTCTCCTGCACATGGCTAGCCAGTTATCCCAGCACCATTTATCAAATGTTTAGCTCCCACTTATAAGTGAAAACATGTTATTTGCTTTTCCTTTCCTGTGTTAGTTCACATATGATAATGGCCTGCAGCTCAATCCATGTTGCTGCAAAGGACATAATTTTGTTTCTCCCCATTACTGAATAGGGAATCCTATCCCCATTGCTTGTTTTTGTCAGCTTTGTCAAAGATCAGATGGTTGTAGGTGTGTGGCATTTTTTCTGGGCTCTCTATTCTGTTCCATTGATCTATAATGTTACATATTTTTGTCTTATATTACATTACAGTCTTGAAAGATTATTGAAGTTTGATATCACTCTTACTTAATTAGATAAGCTAAAATGATTGTCTATCTAGTTTTTGGACTTTGTAAGAACAAGATTCAGGCTTCCTATCTGTAAAGGAGTGATGTATATATGTAGGCAGGTGGCAGGATATTATACATTCTAACATTAAGAAGTTTGGGAACCTAAAGACATCAAATCAAGAATATTAAGCATTGAATATACCATGTACTGTTTTCTGTTTACATCCTCTTGAATAAGGCTGAAAAATGAGCATTTGAAATTTTAGTGATAGTCTGGCACAAAGTCGGTATTTAATAAATTACTGTTGAATGAATGAACAAAGGAGTGAAAAAGCAAATGCAAGTCCCTCGCTGTATATAGAACATTGCCAATGGTAGATACTAATTAAGACAACCTGTAGAATCCTGTGGAATGATATTTGCTGACCCAAGAAGTGGCTAGAAGGAGAAATATGTTCAGAAATTTTAAGATGACAGAGTTGTAGGGTAACTTCTAATTGTAAGCAGGACTACTAAATATGGTTGTTTTATATTAGTAAGTAGCTACTTAAAATTTTACTGCTTAATGAAATTATAGATTCATTTTTTTAATTATAGGGCAAGTTAAGTGAAGATACATAGAGGGGAATTTGAAGGGGAGAGGATAGTTTGAGGGAGTTTGCAAAATGGTATTGCTTTTGATTCTGGGATATATTGTTTATCAGGGGTCCATGAGTAGTGCTGAATGTTCTATTCTGGGCTTAAAATTTATTTTCCTACATGTGCTACATCCTTCTCCTCAAAAGTTCTGAAATAGGCAGGTAGAAACCTAAAACTGAGGAAAACACAGGCAGTTCATAAATGAGTCAACTTCATTTCTGGCAATATGGCAACTAGAGACAAAGCCTGGAACTGCAGCACAATGCGAAATTGGGTATACCTCTGATTCCAGGAGCCCTCGGTGGATGAACTAGGAGAAAATCCATCCCACTGATGATGATATGCCTACCCTGGTATTGGTTCAGGATTGGAAAGAAAAAAGGAAAGTAGTCTCCCCTGAGAATTTCTAACTTTAAATCTAAAACCATCTAGATGAAGGGCTGAAATTCATACCAGCTTTGCTACCTAAATAATTCTAAGCTGAAAGTGTAGTTTAAAATTATTCCAGATTATTCCACTGCACTCCAGTCTCCAGACAGAGCAAGACTCTGTCTCAAATAAAAAATTAAAATTTTTAAAAAAATTCCACATTAATTATTCTCCCAATGAAAATTCAAATTCTCTCTGGATCAGAGCCTCTTTGCACATGTTTCCCAAAGGACTTTTATACATAATGTCCTAGGGAACATACATTCACAATTTGGAATCATTAAATGAATCCAGAAACAAACCACCTTATGCCAAGATCGGCAGAAACAATAAAATATATAATTAAACTGACAAATATAGCAAATATTTGAATTTTAGATACTAAATTCAAAATTTTATACTTAATATAGTTTAAGAAATTAAAGGGAAAAAATCTAAGAGGAAAGCAAGACGCTAATTGGGTATTTATGAAAAAGATTCAGGTATAGTAACTGAAATGAAAGCCTTAGTGGACATATTACATGGCATATCAGACACAGTTGTGTAGGAAATTGGAGGAGAAATCTGAAGAAATTTCTCAAAGAACAATTCGGAGAGATTAAGAAATTAAAAATAAAACAGAAAATGGAGTGATGAGATGCAAATACATTTAATAGAAGGAGAGAATAGATAATTGTAGAAAAGCAATATTCAAATAAACAATGCCTGAGAACTTCCCAGATTCTATAATAAAACTAATCTTCAGAGTCAAGGAGCATACATTAAAATTAATCAACACCTGGATGCATTGTAATGAAACTAGAAGACATTAAAGACAAAATATTAAAACTAACTGAGACAAAAGATAGGTTATCTATAAAGGATTGATTATTAGACCCAGCTAACAACAGCAGTAGTAGAAGCAACAAGAGTTTCCACTTCTGGTAACTGTTGAATAGCTCCTATTTGGCCAGTCCTCCCACACATAACTACAAGTTGTGGACAAAATATCAAAACAAAACTATCTGAAGGCACTGCCCAGGAGAAGACTGACACTTGGAAAAAGGAATGGTACTAGGGTGAGTTTCTTTGTTTTATGACTAGCTCTAAGATAGGCACTGGATTGTACCATGCAGGGTGGCTAAAATTCAGATAGAAACTTTATGATATTTCTGGCTTAAAGAACCAGACTAAGGAGTGAGTTTAATGCAGTCTCAGCAGCTGGAAAAGGATGTAGGAAATCTTAAAAAGAGTCAGAGAGAGGAAACCTCAAATTCTGTGTATAAACTTTAAGGAAAGCCAGGTCTTTGTAGGAACATAAGAAAATCCAGAGCCTCTGCAGTAGATCATTCATTCAAATTGTCCAAGATACAGGATAAAATTACTCAGTATACAAAGGAGCAGGAAAATGTGAACCATACTCAACAGAGAAGAGAATGAAGGGAGATCAACCCTGTGATTTCCCATATGATGACTTAGGAAAAGATTTTAAAAGCAGCTATTATGGTGCTCTAGGACACAAAGGAAAACATGTTCATAATGAATGGACAGAAAACCTCAAAAGAGAAATAGGAACTACAAAAAAGAACCAAATAGAGATTATACAATGTGAACCTACAGTGTCTGGATTAATATCTGAAACAATAAGAATATGTTAGAAGTTGTGAGAGGAAATTACTATCCTTTTAGAAATTTCTCAAAAAAAGGATGAAATAGTGAGAGTTTATTCAAACAAACACAAAGTTCACTTCTAAGTGTGTCATCTAGCTTCATAAGGTATATACTTCAGGAAGAAGCACACATAGATAGACACACATATATATTTATTTATATATATTTAGACCCATATAAATATTTCTGTATGTGTGTATGTGTGTGTGTGTATATATATATAAAATTTTGTATGGATTCTCTATTCTCAATAAAATGTTTTTTAAAAACTATATGTTCATAGCAGAAGTTTAGCAGTGTTAATAGACTATGGTGCTGACAGAAAATGGCATTAGGGAAAAATAGTAACCGTATGCTCAAAGATGAAAAAGTTCCCAAAAGGAAATTAACTGTAATCTTAAATATGAAGTATCTGTCCAGACAAAGACCCATAGTACACAGAAGAAAGTGCAGAGGGCCCATGACTGATGGAAAAGGATAGGGTCCACCTGAGTAATAGGGATCATGGCTGGGAAGGTAGTCCTGGATCTTCACATGTCATAATGCACCCACTGGAGAGAGAAAAGCTCTAGTGGGATACTTCAGGGTGGAACAGCCTCAGTTACCTGTTCTGTTTTAGAATCTTATGTCACTGTTTCCTTTTTTGGATCTCCAACCTTTTTAACAGCCAAAGGAGTCCACAGCCAGAATATTTTGAAATTCTTTACTCTCCTCCTTCCTGTCTCCTTTTTTTTTTTTTTTTTTGACTCTCTATGGAAAGCTTGGTTTAAGAATAAATATACATTATACTTTTAAAGAACAGGGAGGGGGAAAGAGGAAATATTTTTCCCATCAGATTTCAGAAGCCATGTATATCTTATTATCAAAGGGGAAACTATTGAAGATCAATTTGTTTGTGAAAACAAAATTTGTAAGAAACTATTTGAATGATTAGAATGGGTATTAATTGCTGCTTATCAGGATTTTACAAAGTGGTTTTTTAAAAAATGTAATCCATAGGATAAAAATATTTGAATATTAATAATCAAATGTTCTGATTAGAAAGATGATTTTTGATACAGTTTGAGTATTCCTCATTTGAAAATCTGACATCTGAAATGCTCTAAAGTCTGAACTTTTTGAGTGCCAACATGAGGCTCAAAGGAAATGCTTATTGGAGAATGTAAGATTTTAGATTTTTGGATTAGGGATGCTGAATGTAATGCAAATATTCTAATTTTTTGTAAATCCAAAATGTGAAACATCTCTAGTCCCAACCATTGCAGATAAGGGATGCTCAACCTGTAGATAACTCTTAACCTGGAAGGGCAAAATAGTAACAGCACATTATGAAGACTAGCATGGCTAGAGACATGTTCACATTGGCTAATCTCTGAAATACTATAATTTTTACTGTTCCAAATGAGGGAACAATATTTTCAATCACCTAATATAAAAATCCCAGTAATAGCATGGGATGCATATATCAGAGATTTGGACATGAGACAAACTATCTCTACTCCTATTCGTAGGAATTTTTAAACTTTGTAACCCTCTCTGTACAATGTATTTTATTTCTTATTTTTAACATTAATATACCTGCTCTGTCTTTGTTCATTTTCTATTTGACCATCAGCTGCTACAAATTTTCTTTCTTTGTTTGAATAGAAAATGCAGTATTTTTCCTTGTGCAAAGTTCTATGAGAAAAAAAAAGGAAAAATAAGTATTTTTCATGGCTTTTTTCTGAATAAAGTTTTCTAGTTGGTAGATTTTTAAATCAGAATTTGGAATTTATTACAAAATAAGAGTCTATATCCAGTGTATATTGTTTATTTTGCATGTTTTCCCAATGTCTTGGAAAAATAAAGTGCTATTTGGTTTTCTTAATAATGTTTTCACTTTAATTTTCTTTGATAAGATTAAATTGCCTTCATAATAAATAATAAAATATTAAAAATATTAAATATCTACATCCACTATATATTGTTTAATTTGCATGTTTTTCCAAGGTCTTGGAAAAGTAAAGTGCTATTCGGTTTCCTTAATAACGTTTTCACTTTAATTTTCTTTGATAGGATTAAATTGCCTTGATAATAAATATGAAAAGTTTCCAGTTCATATTTGCCTGCTGTCTCTCCTCTTAGAGTTACAGTGGCAGTAAAATGAATGAAAGAATGAATTAAAGTGAAATGAATTATTTTCTACTTATCTGACATATACTATGATTCACTCTGTATAAAATTGCCAGTGGATAGTTCCAGGACTGTGCTACTTAGGGTTTTATAGAGCTGAGTCAGCTGAACTGAATTAATGATTGATTTCTAAAAGCTTCCCTTAAGTAAACTTAATCTATTTTTGCCTTTTTATATCCTAGGTGCCCAAACCAGTAGATTATTCTTGCCAACCCTGGTAAGTATTAAATGTTTATGTAGCTAGGTTGAAATACCATACCCTTAGCTCCAGGATGCCTTAAATGTGGGGGTAGTAAACCATATTCCATTTCCATTTGTCTCGGCTAAAGGTGTTTTCAGATGTAACAAAACACCATAATGAATTCTTGTATTGCTGACTTTTCCATATCTTTATCTGAGAGGGAGGTGTGTGTGCATGCATGAGCACCCAGTGCCCTTGACAGATAAAGTTGATACCAGCCACAGAAAGGAATGGAACATATGCATATGTATCTTATATTTTATGTATTTAATAAAGCAGAGAGAAAAATATGATTTCATTTTCTAAAACTAAAAATTAGCTCAAAAGGGACAACAGTAGATTTTTTTAAATTGTTATAGGTTTTTTTTTTTTTTTTTTTTTTTGAGACGGAGTCTCGCTCTGTCGCCCGGGCTGGAGTGCAGTGGCCGGATCTCGGCTCACTGCAAGCTCCGCCTCCCGGGTTCACGCCATTCTCCTGCCTCAGCCTCCCGTGTAGCTGGGACTACCGGCGCCCGCCACCTCGCCCGGCTAGTTTTTTGTATTTTTTAGTAGAGACGGGGTTTCACCGTGTTAGCCAGGATGGTCTCAATCTCCTGACCTCGTGATCCGCCCGTCTCGGCCTCCCAAAGATTGTTACAGTTTTAAAGATGGGGTCTTGCTCTGTCGCCTAGGATGGAATGCAGTGATGCCATCATAACTCACTGCAGCCTTGAATTCCTGAGCCCAAGTGATCCTCCAAAGTGCTGGATTACAGGTGTGAGCCACTGCTTGTGGCCAACACTAATAGCTTCTAAAAATAAAATTTACAACATATAACATGGCAGCAACAAAATATATCATAAAGATAGGGGCACCCGTACCACTTGGCAGCTGGCAGTATCATTAACAAAACCTAGAAAGTGTAGTGGATAGTAATTATTATTTTCTAGATAACTCCAACTATTAAAAAATATATTTAGGATTTAGTATAGTTATGGTTATCATAATAACTAATATATACTATTTGTTATATGCTTTGTACCATACATGTTTTGTTTTTATTTCAACATTTATATAAGAAAAATGGTGGTGACTGTTGTTATTTTTATGGGTGGAGAAACAAAGAAACAGAGCATGCAGCTAGTGAGTGGTAAAGCCGGAATTTCCAAGTTATGCCATCTGTACATTGCTATACTGCCCCCAAAATACAGAATGTGAGCACATTACTCATTTCTATTTGTTTTCCTGAATTTTGCATTTGACTCCTCTTAAAAAGACTGAATCTATTTTTATTTTATTGATATTAAAATACATGCATAGAAACGAGAGATCAGAATACATATATAAATATAATATCCTGGGAATGTATAGTACTAGTTGGGTTTGCATGTTACCATGTGAGTTATCTGATATTTTTTACATATTCTGATTATTTTCTGTTCTATAACAAAAGCATGGAAAATGCTGAGTTACTTTTCAAAGTGTAGGAATCCATTGTGCAACGTATGGGATTCTCCTCGGGCCCTCCTACACCTCCCCTTCTCTGGCAGTCACTCTGTCTTCTGTAGTTACTGTCTGCCCTTCCTGATATCCCTCCCTGGGCCTCAGCACTGAGCTTGCTGAAGAAATTGCAGCAGGTTTGTGATAGCACTGGGAATGTGCTTCATTTTTACCTGATTGAAGACAATTTGAAGTCATTAGTGTCTGTGGAATTTTAAACTATAGTCCTGAAAGAAATTAAATTTGGAGACTAGAGCTGATAGCATTGACAATCAAACTGAAAAACATCAGGAACTGTTAAAAATCTTGAAAGTGTGATGATTAGGTTTCTTCTCTTATACCATTTTTCATGTAACTGGCATTATAGTTACAAAGGTAATGATTTGAGAGATGAAATACTAATACCTCAAACTGCATGGATTTTATGAAATAAACTTATTAGGTACCTGAGAACCATTCAGGGCACCCGAGGGTAGGCTTTGTACCCTTAGTTTTAAAATGTACCCTTGCCAATAAGTAAAATCCTACTGAAAATATGACCAGTTAGAATAATATTATTCTTATAAAAGCAAGATGTTCAGGCAAAGGGAGAGCCTTGAAAATAGCAAGAAATAAGGATGTAGTAGAATTTTAAAATTACCTTTCTTTTTTTCTTGAGCAACCTGGACAATCTATTTAAACTAAGCAGGCAGTTTGATGTGAAATGTCTTCTGCTAGGGAACAAAATGATCAACTACCCCAGAAAATAGAACCTTCAATTTTAGAAATACGAAACTATTTAGAGAAAATTACTTTGCATGATGGCATGGTAGTTCTCAAGTCACTGAGAAGTTAAGTATCACCAACTATATTATCTACTCATTATTTCTACATTTAAAAGTAAGTTGTTTGCACAAGGTAAATTTTGTCTCTTGCATACATAATGAAATAAAATAGAAAATTAAGATGATTATCTTCAATAATCTATGTTTTGGGGTATTAAAAGACAGAAATGAGATTTGGGACTGCAAACTGGGGAACTGTCCTAAAATCTGTACACAGAACAAGAGATAGATGTCAGGGTCCCTGCCTTTTCCCATAGTAGTCTGAACAAATTGCCCTTTCCTGCAGCCGTAGGAGACACTGGAGTTAGAAGCTATATTATGTGGAAAAGGTGAACCCTGTAGGGCCTAGATTTGGAAAGATCAACCCTTGCAGAGACTGGGGAGATGCCATAGTGAAAACAGAGGGCTGTGTATACTGAGTGATGATGCTCTCCAGTTCTCTTGTGTAGCTCAGTTTTAGCACTATGACAGCTGGGTCCCATATACACATACTACTCTGTCTTGGTATTCAGAGGGGAATTTGGAAGATTTTTGGCCAAAGAAACGAAATAGAGTTAAAAATCTAAAATCCAGACCTTTGGGTGTTTCCCAGCTCGGTCTTCAGGTTCTTGTCAAATGATCAGATTCAACTGGGCGTAGTGGCTCATACCTGTAATCCCTGCACTTTGGGAGGCCAAGGCAGGCGGATCACGAGGTCAGGAGTTCGAGACCAGCCTGGCCAACATATTGAAACCCCGTCTCTACTAAAAATACAAAAAATTAGTCAGACGTGATGGTGGGTGCCTGTAATCCTAGCTACTCAGGAGGCTGAGGCAGGAGAATCACTTGAACCCCAGAGATGGTGGTTGCAGGCAACTGAGATCACGCCACTGCATACCAGCCCGGGTGACAGTGTGAGATTTCATCTCAAAAAAAAAAAAAAAAAAAAGATCAGACTCCTACCCAGTGGACCTACTTTGGTGCTCACACACACAGAGCTTCCAGTCAATGATGTATGCATCCCTCTTAAGTAGGAACAAACAACAAAAAGTAACCATACCTTTGAGGAAACCCTTGAACTGAAAAAAAAAAGAAAAAAAAAAAAGAGAGAGAGAGAAACTTGAAAATAGATATTAGAGTGAGCAGACAACTTTAAAAAACCTTTTATTTACATCTTCAAAATTAAGAGAAAACTTAAGTTCATTGGATGTAAGCTCAATGTTTTAGAAAACAAATCAAAAAGGAGCTCTTTTAGGTTGAATATTGTAGAAGACTTGGAAAATAAAGTTGAGCAAATCTTCCAAAAAGTCGGAGATAGATAATAGAGGAGAAGCGATGTGGAAACTAGGCTATTGACCCAGGGGATACAGCATTCAAGTAGCAGAAATTCCAGAAAGAGAAAACCAAGGACAGCAATTATCAAAGAAATGATACAGACATTTCTCAGAACCAAAGGACCTGTGGCTCCAAATTGAAGATACTTCTAAAAGGCCAGGACAATATATATTAAAACACACACACACACACACACACACACATTTTCATGAAATTTTGCAGTATAGAGAATACAGAAAGAATTTGAAGGTCTCTAGGAGAAAAAAATCAGGTCACATACAAAGAATTAGAAATGGCATTGAATGGAAATTAGAAGACAATGAATCAATGTATTAATATTTGAGAGCCAAAATAATTTCTCACCTAGAATTATTTACCCAATAGCCAAACTATGAATATTTCAATAATATTCATAGCCAAGCTATGCGTTACTAGGTAAAATAAAATATTTTCATAGATGCGGGACTTCAGAGTATTACACACTGTGTATGTTCAGAAAAAGCTGAAGGGTGAGCTAATCAAGGAAGGGGGAGATATAGAAGCCAGGAAAGGGGAGCGAAGAGAAGTCCCAGGACTACAGTAATTCAACAGGCTTAGTAGATCAAGCAGTATCAATTAGAAGAGTGTGGAGGGCTCAGAAGAAAAGGCTCCAGAGAAAAGTAACAGGTAGATTATGTGATTGTCTTAATTCAGTTAATGCAGCTGTAGGTTGAGTATCCCCTATTCAAAATGCTTGGGACCAGAAGTGTTTTGAATTTCAGATTTTTTCAGATTTGGGAATATTTGCATAAACATCATGAGATATATTCAGGATGGAACCCAAGTGTAAACACAAAATTTATTTATGTTTTATATATATCTTATACACAAAGCCTGAAGGTAATTTTATATAAGATTTTAAATTTTGTGCATGAAACAAAGTTTCGACTGCATTTTGACTACAATGTAAATTTCAACGTGGATTTTAAGGGGACATTCAAACCATAGCAATGGTGTTGAAAAATGTATTATTGGGACGTATATTTGGAAGGAATCTGTGATAGAGACAAAGAACTTGAACAAACAAAAACATAAGCAATTTTATTTTGGAGAGCAGATATTCTTTGAATGAACACCATGCCAAAACTGGGCCAGTTGACAGCTTGGCTTTGTAGAGGTTACAGAAAGACAAGAGTGAGGAACAGCACTATAAAGGAGTGAGCACAGGTGGTAGGAAGAAGATGATTTTTCTTCCTTATGTCGAAAATTGATAAGAAATTGTCATATAATTGTTTAGAAATACACAAGTAGAAATAAAAAATAGGTACAATGTTTGAAATGGGACTTGGAGTAGAATGCTTGTCTGTTGGAATACTGCTGCTTTTTTTGTTATTATAATGTGAATGGACTTTTAAAACTACGTTAATGCATAGCTTTGATAAAAATGCATACACTAAATACTAGTTGTGATAAGTGTCATGAAAATAGGGATATTGTAATGAGAATATGGAGTAGGTAGTACAAGATGCAGGACAACATTCTTTAGATGGTATGGTCAGAGAAGACCCCTCTAAACTTTAACAATGAGAAGGAATATTGTGTTGATAGAGCATGAGTATTTCCAGACAAGAGTACAGTCTGTGAGAAGACTCTAAGCTCAAAAGGAGCTCGAGAAACTCCTGGATCTGAAAGAAGGCTGGACACTAGTGATGAAGGCAGATATAACAGATAAGGTTGAAGACAGGTAGGCATGAATGAGTCAGATTATTACTAGGTCCTAGTAGTTCATGAGTTGTTATAACTTGTCTTTTAACACAAGGTACCATCTGCATAAAATGCCCTTAATTCCTCTTTTATACTAGATGGAAACCTAACATGTTCTCCATCAACAAACTTTTATTGAATGCCTGCCATGTGCATTTTAAATGAATATTAAGTTTGCATTGGAGGTGAATGTTTATACTGAGTTACATGAGTCTATATGTGAACCAGAGGATTTTCAGGTCTATGAATTATTGACTAGCTTTGAAAGAGAACCAATCTAAACAGAATTTTTCTTTTACATTCTATTGACTAAAATCTCTGATGTATCTTGCCAGGAGATTTTACACCTATATATGACTTGAGGGGTCATTAAAGATTATTTTAAGATTGAATTTGGGCCTTTTGTTTTTGTAGTTATTATGGAGCTTCTATATGCTTAAGGCCAGCAAAATCTAGGGAGATTGAATTCTGGTTTTGAAAAATATCTACCTTTTGAAACTAAATTTTACTCATTATAACTAATTGCTTAAGAAAATTTGTTATCAAAATTGTGGAATATATGAATTAATCTCATATCAGAAAAATAATTATTTAAAATAACATTACTAGAATTTTTTTAAAAAAGATACTTAAAGGAGATTTCATTTCATAGTATATATAGAAAAGCTAAAATAAGCGTGTCTGTGTATCTTATACAGGGCAGTCTCTCCCTACAAGTCTTTTTCCTTCCTATCCTTAAGCTCCCACAACTGTCTTTTTACCCAATACCCACTGACTCCTCTTTGTCCCATTTGTTTACTAGGTGCTTAGGAGGTATTAGGCACTGTTCATTTTGCTGTTGTTAGCTTTGTAGAGCATTTGTGTTTGGACGTATTAAAGGACCTTTTACTGATTTATTTTTCTTAAACAATGTAATTAGTACAGAATTACCAACAGCTCAGCTCTGCCACTAAATTAAATATTGAGAGATACTTACTTTTAGCCTCTGTTCTCTTCCAGGTATATTATCCAAATTTTCTGTGTCATTGTTTTTTACAGGTATGCTGGAGCAATGGAAAGATTGCAAGCAGAGACTGAACTTATTAATAGGGTAAATAGTACTTACCTTGTGAGGCACAGGACCAAAGAGTCAGGAGAATATGCAATTAGCATTAAGTAAGTAGGACAAGTACTTTTACAGAAATAGATTTCCTGTTTTCATAATTGCGTAGACCATCTGACATGTATAACACTGAAGTTGAAAACCAAAGTTCTAATTGCAGAAGAAATAATGCATCTATCCAGACAGTTCATTAATACTTGAAAATATCTTTGAAAAACAGTAAAAAGTGTTATAGGCTGCTAATTGGCATATTAGATTTCTTTCATAATATTGTGTTTTGGTGGTTTGATGTGTGTATATTTCTAGTAAATACTAACAGTATAAATTTCTAGATTTTTGTCTTATTTTTCTACATTCTCAAACTGAACTTACTAAATAAATTGCACATAATGAATAGTCAAATCCAACCTCCCTTCTCACTTCAAATATTGGTTGTATCCTCAACCAATCCAGTAAATATATTTTGTTAATTAGCTGTCACCAGTGTATTGGCATAGGTATATATTTTGTCTGCAGAATTAATTCCTATAATGTTATTGGGGCATGCCCTCTGGTAATTATTGATTTCTACTGATTAAAAACACATTTATATTCATAAGTTATTCATTGCCCACAGGTACAATAATGAAGCAAAGCACATCAAGATTTTAACAAGAGATGGCTTTTTTCACATTGCAGAAAATAGAAAATTTAAAAGTTTAATGGTAAGCATTGATTATTTCTTTTCAATCTGGGATCCTTATTTTTCTTTTGTTAGAAAGGTCATTTTAATTCTATAGTTTCTTGGAAATTTTGCTCACTGAAAAGTTAAAGAGAATCGTATTCTAATTTTGCAACAAAATCCTGAAAATTCTAATTTAAAAATCTCTAAGTTTTATATTGCTCAAATCATATTCTTCATTGTAAATTGTTTGCAAGTTTTAGATACAGTTTTGGTTTGTATTTAAATGACACAGCAGATTTTTAATATAACTTTCTTTCCTCTTTTTTCTTCCTTTGCCTCTGTGTCCTGATTCAGGCAGAGGACAGTATTTTAAATTATAACACAAAAAGTTGTATTTAGTAAAATATGTCTAACATTTAGGTCCATTTTTTATAAAATGCAATATAAAGTCAAATTGAAAAGATTATTGTATTTTCTGCTATTTTAAGTGATCTCTACTGTGGTTCTCATTCATTACCTTGGATAATTATGCATTAACAAGGTAACATTTTTGCCACTTAACAGTTGATATTTCATAGGAATTGTATATTTAAATGGAAATAGTATATTGTCAAATCACATCAAATGAATAAGGATTATTCCCACAGTTTTAAAAAAAACACAACTGATTCATACTTTTGTTAGCATATAAGAATATTTTGTGTATGTCATTTAAACAATGTGTATATGTCATCATGTATGCATTGCTAACAGTAAACTCTCTAAGTTCACATTTCCTTAAGTGGTCTCAAGTATGTTTCTCAAGTTTGGTAGTTTCTTGAGATAATGAAGAGTTTGGATATAGGACATAAGATGCATTTGTACTGCTAAGTACCTTGAGTAACATTGGGAAGGACCACTCATTGACTGAACCATCAATCAAATGATACATACTGCATCCTTCCAGAATACATCTCAAAGCACTTTGCAGATGTTAACTTTAAAGTTAAACTGAGTGTAATGGAGCCTTACAAAGTAGGCCAGCTTGAATACCTTATCCAAAAATTCAGAGCTCCTTCAAGGCGGGTGTCAGTGTTTTAAAGAAATTGAAGCATCCTGAGTTGAAAGAAAAATAAAATCTCTATGGATATAAAGATCATTCCTAGTTCAAAAGCTAAGGATGGGCAGCAAGGTCGTGTCCTGGAAAATGTAAACTCTGTCAAATTTGTAACCAAGATCCAGGCATCCTTCCTGCTGGAAGTAATTTACATTCTGTTGAAACAAGCAGGCTGAGCACAGAGAGAATTGGACCAGAGGAGGTTCCTCATAAAACGAAAACTTGGAGGGAGGTGGCAAGTGGATGCACAAATAATGAATGACAGACACAGCTGAGACATGATAAAAGCATGCACAGGGGCTCTCCACATCTCTGCAAGACACGCCAGCTTGAGCTTTCACCTGCAGAACTTCCTTGGATGCTAATGAGGCTGCTCCACAGTGCTATAGTTACTATGGGACTTAAAAAACTGCTGCAGGGCCAAAGATAACTGCCAGCCTTGCAGACTTTGAAAGTAGCAAAAGTAACTCCCATCAGAAGAGACAAGCAAAGAAGATGAAAGGAATAGGCACTGAAAAGGGCCAATCAATTTAGCTTTGTGTCACCTGGGTTCAACTCAAGGAAGTTCTTCAGAAGCCAAGGTTAGATGTGAAAAGCCAGTAATACCAGTGACCTGGATTAGTAGACATAGATGCATGAGTTCCTATCTGCATGTAAAGCTGTGATTATAGTGAAAGCAATAGAGACCTAGCATTAAAAAAAAAATTGTGTCAGAGAGCCTTAAAAGTTTCTACAATAATATTCTCTGGAAAAAGAACTAAAAGTACTTCTCACGGGACTAAAGTAAGCTTTTCGTATATGTTATGTATAAAATCTCAGCAATGTCACTATTAGAGACATGTGCATATGTGGTTTTTTCTCCATATCTGGGCATCTTTTGTAAGGAAGCACTAATAACAGCATGTTAAAGGGAAGGGACTAAGAATGTTAGCAAAGCAAAATGAAACTAATAAACATTAGCAAAGGATGTAATTGTGGAAAGAAAAACAAGGAGCTGGAAAAAATCTCAGTATCAGAAAAGCACTTTTGTCAGGTTTAGCAAATAACTGTAAAAATTACTGAAGAGGCAGCTGAACTAATCTGAAGTTACTCCTCCTTTTTGTTTCTGTTCATTTGTTGAGCAAATTTATATTGAGTCCTTACTATGTGAAATGACTTTCTGGAGAACTCAAAAGGACTCAACCGTTCTAAAAAGAAGCTTTAAGAATCGGTAAGTATGTCTACACCAAGAACTTCACCATAGACCACTCCTTGGAACCTAGGCTGGGAAATGCCACATGAATACTTGGTCAGAAGGGATGGCTCACGTTTTAGCAACCTGAACTTCTGGAACGAGGTAGAAGATGATTAATTGGTGTGAAGACTTCTCAAAATCAAGATCATACTAACTTCAAAGAGTTACCCTTTACCATGTTGGAGTCAAACACACTTCTCTATTATAAGTAAGGAGTGATCTGTGGAGTTGTTTCTTAAGAATAGTTCAGTATCCTCTTATTATTGTTATTAGTATACTCTTCTATCTGTGAAACACAACAGGGCCTGGAATTACATTTAAATCTGGAAAGCGTGTAAAACATAAGCAAACTCCAGAGCTTCTTTTACATTAACTGGTTTCTCAGTGAGAAGGTTGACCTTAGGTGGTTATGACCTAACCTTTTTCCCTTGAGTTTCAATAGCTTGGTTAATCAGAATCTTTGTTTTTCTTAGTCATTAAATGCAAATCCTAAATGAATTTCTGTATCCAGATTACAAGGCATTAATTTTGTTCTAATTTTCATGTATGCCAGACAGTCCATGTCCAAATGCTGTTTATAAACCATCTCCATTGCCTGTTTCCTTGGTAATTGGAATGACTGGCTCTCACTCATTATTTTTAAGAGACTTGAATTGTTGACACTGCTGTGTCAGTGTGAGATAAGGAAAGCTTAGCGATTTCTTTTGTTTAGAGTCTTCTTATTTACTTGTTGTACCTGAAGGTCAATGACTGTTAAAGCAGGGGTGGATTAGACTAAAATACAGAAAGCATAAAGGCAAATTGGAAAAGATCCATAGTGACACTATTTAATTCTACCCAGTTAGAAACATGTAGGAAGATTTACCCTCATAAGACTGTAAAAATGGAACTAAAATATCTTCCATGCTTAGTGAAGTGATAAAGAGTGTTTTGCATTTTACTAAGCCGCATGACCCTAGGCCTTGGAAAACTCATTTTTTCTTCCATAAAATTTGGGAGTGGGTGAGTGTTAAATAATCACCAAATCCTTTCTCAGTATAATAATTCTATGGTTTCTAGCCAAATTCACATAAATTGTAATTCATAGCAAAAATCATAAAATTCATATTACCTATAACAAAATTATGTCGAAGTTCAAAGCTATAGCTTATAATTCCTTTCAAGTTTGTTTTCACATTTGCTAAAGAAAATAACACATTTTACTCAATTTAAGTAATAAGACTAGGAGAAAACTCTTCAGTATCATTTGTATCAGTGACATTGTGTGTGTGTGTTGGGGGGGTGTGTGTGTGTGTATTTCTTCCAGAGACCTCACAAAATTTTGCTTCATATTTAAAAAAAAAAAATAGAAATATTGGTCACTAAGTAGAATTTAATTCTATGCCTTGTCTGTGCAAAACATGTTAAAATTCACCAAAATACAAATGCATATTCTGATAATTGAAACCATTTTGGAGATACAAATTTCTACAAGGTCTTTTGTTTCTTTTTCTCTTTTTTTTTTAAAGGTCAGTCTGATTACAAATTTCTTGCTTCAACAAGGACCCACATTATCTGGGCCCAAGGAAGAAAGGAAGAAATACATATTTTTCAAGTTATAGATATAATATTTGCAAGACCCTAACATCTTAAGTCTTAAGAAAATAAAGTACCTAGTACATCATGAACACATAGCAAAAACTACTTCACTTTTGCCTCCCTGTTTTTTTTATGTGTTTTTTGGTGTTTTGTTTTGTTTTGTTTTGAGGCAGTTTCATTCTTGTTGCCCAGGCTGGAGTACAGTGGCAAGGTCTCAGCTCACTGCAACCTTCACCTCCCGGGTTCAAGTGATTCTCCTGCCTCAGCCTCCCAAGTAGCTGGGATCACAGGCACCTGCCACCACACCTGGCTAACTTCTTTGTATTTTTAGTAGAGACAGGGTTTCACCATGTTGGCCAGGTTGGTCTCAAACTCCTGACCTCAGGTGATCCACCTGCCTCAACCTCTCAAAGTGCTGGAATTACAGGCACAAACCACCATGTCTGGCCCTTGTTTTTGTATTTACATTTGTTAGGCACTATTTGCTAATAGTATGATATAGTTAAGAGCACAAACTTGGGAGAAAGACGCTAGCTGTGTGACTTTGCGTAAGTTCACTCACCTCACTGGGATTTGAGCTTCAATGGGAATAAGGCCCATTTCATAATGTTCTTGAGTGAAGGTTATAAGAAACTATGTAAAGGGCCTGGCACATGGGATAATGTGGTAGCTGTTACGATTTTTCACATGTATTAGGTACTTTATATATTCTTTGTTGTCATCTGTGAAATGGTTTATTAGCCCCATTTTGTAGGTGCGATTGAAAAATCGCCATTTGCCTTATCCAATGCTTTAGCCAAACTGTGCTGCTTTTAGCTTGTGAAAGGTGATCTTTGTTTATCACCTTTGTGTCTGTTTCCAGCCTGCCTGCTCTACCTAAAATGATCTTTCCCTGGTTCCTGGCTATTGTAATTTTACTAGTTCTTCAGTTTAAGCCAAGCTACTTGTATTACAAAACTTTTCATCATCCTTCTCATTGGATACACAAAACCAAGTTCTCTCTCCTGCCTTTGAACTTTCCCTTCCCTTGATGAGAACTCCTCAAGGGCAGGAGGCTTAGCTTTATAATCTCTGTGACCCCTGAAGCTCCTGGTACAGTGCATTCCACAACACACTCAAGTTTTGTCTTAAATAATAAATCATCGATGATTCTCTTTTTCTTCTTTCAGCTGATTTCTGGACTCATTGATTTGTTTGGGGAACTTTGAACATAACCACTGAACACAGATATTAAGTTGATGGCTGTGGGATTTTTAGAAGAATCGAGTGTTGGTTTTTTTTTTTTTTCTGTTTTTTATTTTTAAACAGGTGCTCCAATAGAAGCATTGAATAATTAAGTTAAAAGTGATTTTTCTTTTATTTTCATTTCAGATATTTATAAAAAATTTTTATATCTGCAGTACTCATTTGATGATAAGATACATTTTTATTGTGAATTATTATTCAGTTTCAGTTTACAGTAGAGAGATTCAGATTTCTGCAGAATCTATGAAACCAACCTGTGAGATTTTCTGAAACCATAATTTGAAGGATGGCATGTGGTTATTACATTAGGCTTAGATGTATTTAAGACAAATTATTTATGAGAGAAAATTGGAAAGAATTACATTGACCTCTGTGAGTAGCAGATATGCGGAGCTATGACGGGTACTATACTTCATCAGAAACTAAAAACAATGTCAAGTACCATTTGTGCTTTATCAAGTTTTGTTTACCATGAAAAAGTATAAGTTTGTTTTTCTGCCATTTTGAAAGAAAATAAGTGCAGGAAACTAGAAATTGCTATATATTCAGCAAGCAGCTGTTCCTTTTATTTTGGTTTAGAAAGGCAAGTATTTCATAAATAAGAACAATAATTACTACTCTGAAACTGAGATTTAGTGTGGTTTCTTTTCATTTTCTACATCTGACTGAAGACTAACAGGATGTTCTCCATCTGTGAATAACAACAGGGGGTAACTCATATTATTAATGGCTTGAGTAACAAGGGCAGCTATTAGGTAGGTGTCATGTACATCCAGACAACAGGGAGAGATTATCATTTACTTAATCTTCCATATACATATGGAAAATTTAGCATTAAATTGATCATCCTTATATTGTATTTGTGTGCTGAGGAGTTCATGTGTTTGAGAACAAAAGTATCTTTATCAAAAATATGTTTGCTTATTTTTTCCAAAGGAACTTGTGGAGTACTACAAGCATCATTCTCTCAAGGAAGGGTTCAGAACCTTAGATACAACTCTGCAGTTTCCATACAAGGAGCCAGAACATTCAACTGGACAGAGGGTTAATAGAGCAGGCAACAGCTGTGAGTATTATACTTGATAATACAATTTACTGTCATGTAAAAATTAGATGCACAATAACATTAAACATCTTCATTCCAAATTTTAAAATGTAACCAATGGATGTGCTAATGCATGAGCAAGGACTTTTTTTCTGGAGTTCAGTAGAGTCAGATGGACCAACAGGCTTGTGAACACATCTAATTATAGATCTTTATGGCAAATTAAAAATTATGTTTATGTTCAAAAATCCATCAGAAATGTAAAAGATATGCTAATATTTACATTTTATACTTTTCATTGACTTTTATATTAACTAAACTCTTTTTAACTTACATGTAGTGTGTGTGGTCATAATTCTGTTTGAGTAATAGTATTTAAGCAGGGCTGGTACACAGCTCTCCAGTTCGCCTAGTATCTCAAATCTGCTTATGGTCTATTTCAGTGACTACTTTCAGAATTTTGATATTACTAATGTGTTTTTTTGGATGCTAGTATTTCTAAAACCATACATTAGCCACTTTCTTTCAGAATGAGCCCTGTGCCACAACTAATCACAAAAGATTAGCATGCAAACAAAAGCATGTTATGGTTGGACTGTGAGTCTAAGTTGAAAACCTTTTTTCTCATCGTTTAATGTTACATAATCTTCCTGGAGATAGATATAGCATGTAACAAAAAAAAAATTGAAAAGTGTCATCAAGAAGGTGTGATTTTATTCTCTTAATTTGGTATCATTTTATTTTTTTAAATAAGTGTTTTGGGGAAGAAATGAATACAATTTCATTACTCTTAGAATCTTTAGCCTAAGCAAAACTGGGATATCTAGAGGTATTTGAAAACAGAATTTGCATCAGTTTAATATAACTTAATATTTTTTCCCTAAAAGCAGAAACTAAAAGGGGAACAGGTAATGCTCTGGGTTTCAACAACATCAGTGAAGTTTTATACATTTCAATTTAAGTAAACAAACAATCTGTCACATCAACTGACGTTTTTTATTCAAGTAACTTAATAGATGTTCTCCTCACAGTGATCAATGGTGTATGCCTAAGCTCATACAATGAAAGTAGAGTGAACTTTATGTTAAAACTTTAAACACCTATGACATTTTATCTTGTTATTTTGTAGCCCAAGATTACCTGATTATTTTAGATTCTCAAATAGGCATAATTTTTGCTCATTCAAAAATGGAAGTTTTCTCTAAAAACAATTTTCCTACAAATTTCTTAAAACTCTGTTGAATCTATGACATTTCCCCCAGCATGAAACATGTAATTTTCAAAGCTCTGTTTCTTTGCCTTCCCAGCAGCAAGAGATAATAAAAGTTGCCAGGGAGTTTGGTTAGATGAAAAATCCTGTTTGAGTCGTTCACTTAGCTCTAGAGAACCTAGGAGGGAGAAGTGGGTAGACAGGGAGAACAGATGTCCCATGTTAGGTAGGAAGGTCACTAACCCTCATATTTCACTCTGCGGTTCACGCCCAGCCAATTCCTTAGTGTTTAATACATGGAAGTACTCAGAGAATGTCACCGGCAATGAATGAAGTTGCCTAACTTAAAATGTTGTCTCATGTTTAATGAAGTATTTAATGCTCAAACTTGTTTGATAACTAAGAAGGGAATTACAGGGCATTTTAAGCATAGGCAGTAGAATGTCTTTGAATATCCATGCTAGCCCCAGATAAATTTTTCAACTAATAAAGTCATGAGTTCAAACTTCCCTACCCAGTCTTTTTAAGAGATTCTGACAACTTAAGTCAAGCCACTAAAACTTTTTTTTTGTAATTGTGAAGGGAAAGCAAACAATTCATTTAAAATTTTATATTTGTTATAGTTTGGTTTTGTTCATCAATTATTCATTCATTAAACAGATATATATTAAACACCTAACACACTCAAGGCACTGTTCTGGTTCTGTGATATAGCGATTAAGAAGACAAAGTTCCTATCTTTATGGAGTTTACATTTTAATGGGGAGACTCAGGCAAGTCTGGCTTGGAGGAGTTTCATATTTTTATATAGAGTGGTCAGGGAAGATCTCCCTCATAAAGCGACTTAAAAGGAAAGAAGGGGAGTGGGTTAGTAATGATTGCACTGTGGTTAACACTCCAAGATTAGTCATTCATTACTGCAAAGAAGGATTGCAATCTTAGATCAAATTTGTGATACCATCCCAATGATTTATTTACTTTATACTAACTTTGTATAAAATTAGAGGAAGACTAAGATGGTTCTGGGAACTAAAGGAGGTGTTCTATATAAAGCACTTAGCATAGTGCTCTTACATGGTAAACAGTAAAAGTTACTGCTGACTCTACAACTTCTACTTCCTCTACTACTGCTGCTACTTCTAACTCTTATTCTAACACAGCACTTTCCTATATTTCTAAGGCTTGAATACATTTACTAATTATGACTCATAGCAATGTACATCTTTGCCTTTATGATATTTTAAATATAACTTGCTTATTTTTATACCAAGACTTGATAAAAGTTCACCCTTAAAGAAAGACTGCTTCTGTTTTTATGCATTTTATACATCCCAGGAAGTGGCATGTTTGTATAGAAAGATTGTGCAAGATGTCTTCATATTGCTTACTTTTGGTTCATAGCTTTAGGTATGCTGCTACCATCTAAAAATAACATTCGCCAAGCAGTATTACCTTGGGATACTGGGTTGGACAGAAATGGCATCTCCATTACTTCTAAAAGGCCTTGGAGTATACAGAGCAGGCAAGGTAAAGCTTGGAACCATTCTGTGTTCTGAGTAGAGGTTGAGACTAGAACTTCAACTCCTGAAACCTGCTGTTTTTCATTCTTATTATTTTTAAATAATCTAGTCACCTTGGAAAAGAAAGCCCCAGGGCACTGTAGAGGCCGCTTACTTTTGGGCTACTCTAGGTTAGAATGTCCTTAGAATGTTTACCAATTATTTTTTCAAGTATGTGCAATGTGATAAGATTATGACAGGGCTATCTTATGCAAATGCAAAATAACATTTAAAAAGATGTTGATTAGAATTAAGCAAGTGTCCAAAGTATTGGGCAAGGAGCATAACATTTTAAAGTTAGGAGCCCATTGTAAGCCATCTCTCAGCCTGTCTCCCAGAGAGATGGGATTTTATCTTTGTCTTTGGAATGACTTAAGAGCATTTCTAACTGAGAAGAAAAGAGAGAAAGAAAAAGAACAAAGGGAGAACTCAGGCATAGCAGGGAGCTATTGGGCTTCCCCTAGAAACTTCAGTGACTCCGTGAAAGTTGTTCTGTGGATCTTTGTAAAAATCCCATTATTTTCCAAAATGGTCATCTCAAACCTGCCTTAGATTGCTTTAGGTTCACCTGTAGGGCTTGCATATTTGTAGGGCATTAAATTGACTTTTGCCTTTCTTGCTCTACAATGAACACTTAATTATTTTCAGGTCTGCCAGAGTAGCTGTCTGACCTTAGGCGAGTCACTTAGCCTGTCTGGGCCTTAGCTTTCTCATCTCATAAATGAGGAATGACATTAGAGATTTTATAATGTTCTTTTAAAAATAGCATCTTAGGTTTTTTCCTTTGTGTGCATGAGAGAAGCAGGTAAGGTAATGTTATCAGATTGATGCATCGGGAAAAGTTGTATGATTAGCTGTTTGTGACCTATAAGCGGAACTTAAATATTTTGCCTAGTTTTTATTTGTAGAGAATTAGTTGGGCCGCAGAGTAGAGTTGGGTAATTTTTTTAAATAGCTGTCACTGTATTTGTATAATATCTAAGTATCTTCTGTAAGAACTTATTAATTACAAAAGAGTAATAGTAGTAGTAGTAACCAAGTGATCAAAGTTAACATCACTAATAATGGGACAAATCAATATCATGTACCTCCTAATATAATGCTCCCAGTAGGACACACCAACACTTTGGTGATATTATTGCCCCCAAAAAGCGTAAGTGGAATCTAATAATGAGGAAACGTCAGACAATTCCAAACTAAAAGACATTCTGCAAAATAATTGGTCTATGTTCTAAAAATTTCAATGTCATTAAAGATAAAAGAAAGTCTGAGGAACTGTTTCAGATTAAAGGAGACCAACAGATGTGACAATTACATATAACATGTGATTTGGACTGAATCCTAGAACAAGGGTTGAGAAGATACATATATATACACACACATGTGTGTATATATATGTGTGTGTATAGTAACATATATTTTGTATATGTTATAAAACGTGTATATATGTTTCTATAAAAGATGTGATACAATTGGCAAATTTTGAATAAATTATCTTAAGAAATAGTAGCACATCAAAGCAATTTTCTGCTTTTGATAATTGTACTGTGGATATACAAGAGAAGAGAATACCTCTGTTTTCAGGGAACGTGTGCTGAGTATTTAGCAATAAGGGGCATTATGTCTGCAATTTATTATCAAGTGGCTCAGGAAAAATGCTTAGGTTGATAAAGCAAACATCATAAATTGTTAACATTTGGGGAGTCTGAATGAAAAATATGTGGGAATTCCTTTTGTTATCCCTGCTACTTTAAGTCTGAAATATTTCAGAATAGAAGTTTTCAGTTGTGGAGATGATCCCGTTTGCTGGCTATATCTGAAGAATTGGGAGGTAGTGACAGTGTCCTTCTTTTGCCTGCTTCAGACATAGAAGGGTCTGGTCCGTTAATGTGGAACACTAGCCTGTACTGAACAGATCATATTTGAAGCCATCTGTTCCTTACCTGGGACCTCATTGGATCTGCTTCATTCATTCATTCATTCATTCATTCATTCATTCATCCCTCTATCCTGCAAATATTTTCAATACTTAGCATATGCTAGGCCCTGTGCTAGATACTGAAATTATAGTAGTGAATAAGATTCACAATCTGGTGAACAAGAACAGACAAAAACAAATGCCTTCAATAATCACAATTTTGATCATCCTTATGAAGCTGAAGCATAAGCACAAGGAAATGGGAGCAGGGCCATTTAGCCTGTAGGGTCAGAGAAGGACTTTTTGAAGAAGTGACAGTCAGACTAAACTTAAA